CACGGCTTGTCAGCTATGACATATGATGAATTGTAATGTGTATACATACCCATTTCACTAAGCTTCTACTAGGCAAAGAAAATGGGAAAGACATACTGAGTGTATGAAAATTTGCATTCCATATCAACCACCAATTACCCTAATTTTATTCCCCTGCGTTCCGAGTGGAACGTATGGCTTCAAGATTGAACTTTGAAGTTTCGATAGGGGTAGTTTTATTTCTAAGGGGTGGTGTTGATAACCTCAAGACCAGCATTCCCTCTTTGCCAGGCTTACTATCAGTTTAATAAGGTTTAGGAGTAAGTCGGCAGGAGACTGAATCCTGGACCACGTGAGAGCATGGGTTGGCGAGCATTCTACCGCTGAACCACCAGGGCACAAGACTGCGGAGTGCTGGGCCGCCGTTTCATCCTACTTTGGGACTCTTCATCGGAACACACCCTACGGGGTTCGAATCCAAGACCTTCTGGTTACAGGGTAAGCTCGTATACTATTCAGCCACTGAGTGCCAATTACTCTAATGGTTTGTTATAAAATAACAATATTATTACAGTGTTCGATGATTTTTATCAAAAGTAGGATCATACAAAGCATTGAACTTCATTGCACAGATTAAAAAAACTTACTAAACGGTTGAATTTAATATTCTCCAATACTTTAATAGCCGTATAATAATCACCCAATAAACAGTGCAATCGACACAATCCAATAAGACTAAAGAATCCAAGCATTTTATACAGCATACAACGTCCGAACTCATCGGCTATTTCATTTGGATCACCTAAAAATAATACAGAAGGGATAATAATAATTATTATTATTACTTAAACACAAAAAACTTGATACAATATGGCGCCAAGAAGATGCACAACACAATAGCAATGAAGCATATGAGGTAAAAGGTAAAAATATACGTAGAGAACGGATAAAGAACTTCATCTGGAAGGAAAACAGTCATATTTAACAAGTCCAAACGACACGTTCACCATTGATGACTGAGATTCTTGACCAAATCCGATCACGTTTTGAGCCATCGATTCGAACTATCTCTCGGACGCCAACCAGGGAGCCGCGATGCACAAACCAGTGCTAACCCAATATAAATATCCTTCATCCCACGACGCCACGTCATAATAGGCTGACCATCTCTCCACTTTTTTTATCCCATCTCAGGACTAGCGAACAGAGACCTGTACGGAAGCCTCTGGGATGACATTCGCAGCACATGTCCAAGCCACCGAAGCCGGTGTTTCCAGATGACAACACTCAATGAATGACGATCTCCACTGTGTTCAAACATACGCTGATGGATCTCAGAATTACTCAGACGATGATGCCATCGAACGCAATCAATCCTGTGGAGACATCAATGATCGAATACGCAGAGTCACCACACATCCTCAGCTCGGAGAGGCCAGGCTTCACAGGCGAAGAGCAAGACAGCACGCACCGAAGCATTGTAAACCCAACTATTGACAGACAGGCTCAAGTCGTCAAGGCGCCAGAGGTGACTCAAGTTGACGTATGCCACCCTAGCCTTCATGGTACGGTTGGAAATCTCCTCCGTCACACCTCAGTCAGCACTCACACAACTACCCAGATACACGAACTTATCAACAACTTCAAGCGGTTCACCTGCAAGAGTGAGTGCAGGTACAGGCGGCTCCTGACAATCTTGTAACAGTACTTTGCACTTAGACGGCGCAGAGCATATACCATACTTACAGACATTGACCGCCAACCGACTAAGTGCGATTTGGGCACCCTGTAAGCTATCGCACAGTAAGACTATATCGTCTGCTTACTCGAGGTCGAAAAGTCTATCTCCAGAGAGCAGATCTACACCACCTTCACGCACATCCTTCAGAGCTGACTCCAGAATGTCATCGATGGTAAAGTTAACGAGAAATGGGAAGAAGGGATACCATATATGAAAAGAGTTAAACAAAATATTATGGGTCTTGTGTAGACAGAGATATAATAAATTATTTAGCTTGCAGACTTTCATTAACAGATGCCCCATTCGCTGATTGGCTCGATAATGAAGATCACATGGCCAGCAGATATGAGCGACAAAGCACTCTGTCAGAGAACCAACCAAGAACCAAGTAGAGATGGATTCGACATACATTGGGGAAACTGTTGGGTGACACTACACACCAGGCTGTCGAGTGAGACTCAAATAGGATGCGATAGGTTAGTAGGCATCCGACGGTGATACGGAGAAGACCATGTGAAGACGAAACGAAAGCTTGTGAGCAGTCGTGGATCTGCTAGATATGAGCTGTTACACATCGAATTATCAGTCAAGTACAATGTCATATTAAGTGTGGTATCGAACTCAAATTATTAATACTAGATTAACCGGTAGAAACCGTGTGTACTCAGGTATCTATTGTATAGAGTCAATTAGAGCCAAGTATAACCTCTGACTGCAGACTAGGGATCCGGGTTCGAATCCCGAAGGGATGTGAGTCCCATCAAGATTGCAGATACACCACCATGCTGTGACACGAGGTTCAAGGCGTGCTGCCGATTACCTTCACTATCTAATAGTGAAGTCCTATTTCCCACCAAAAATCAATAATAATAAAATATTTGTATAACTCCTTTCTGTTGACTTTTATAGTCTAACGGTTTATTTGGAAATTTCGCGTAATTTATCTGTAAATATCGTTGAGAATCTAATGGATAGGAAAAGTTTTCAAAGGCTAAAAAATGTAAGACATACAGGGGAAAACCAACAGGTTTTCAAAAGAAGCAGATAGAGAACGCAGGAATTTAAGCGAACATATAGAAGACAGAGGTGATGAAGATATCCAACAACTAAGTACAACGACAAGCACCAATCAAAATCAACGGGAAAAATTTGAAGGAAGTTCACCACTTTCACTTATGCTAGGTAGAATCTTTTCAACTACGAACGGGGCGGCACAGATGAAGATGTCAAATTCAGTCAGGAACGGAAAGGCAAGACAGGCATTCATCATCCTGAAATAAGTCTGGAAATCTAGTGAACTAAGCACATCAACGTTGTCAGTTCTTCTACATGGTTCAGAGACTACATATGTTACCAGAAGCGTTTCGAATAGGCTATCACAGACTTTTATCAACAACCGTGTGTTATACACTAAAGCATGACTATAAATTCTACACACTAAATCCAGTAGAAGTGGTGTGAATAATCAGCTGATTGGCATCTAGAACGCTGCGTACTTATTAGAGTTAACGACGTACACAAGCTGAGCAGTATGCTACATGTGATACAGACTGTGTGTGTGTACTGCTCAGTAGTCCGCTCCGCCCTCCGTTATGGCTATGGGACCTGCCCATTGAGACTGGAGGACATGAAAAGGCTAGCTGTCTTTGATCATAAGTGCCTGCATTCTATCTCCCGTGTTAAGTGGTATAATAAGGTGAGCAATATTGAGGTTAGTTGTCCAGTGTTAGGTAGGTGGGAGGGGAAATCAATAGATGAGGGTGTGAAGTTACATTGATTGAGACGGTTAGGACATGTGTTATACATGCCTAGCCATTGCCTTCCTCGACGGACGGGCAATGTTAGCTGACATGGGATGGATCAGGTTAGAAAAGAGCCAGCGGTGGTCAAACTAAACATGGCTTTATCAGTCAATGAAATCCACAACAGTTAGTTTAAACCAGCCAAGTAGGAAAGTGTAGACTTCCTGGTTTGGGTCCTCGGAACGGTGAACACCAATGGATGGAGACAATTGGTGATATGGCTCAAAATCGTTCTCAGTGATGGTGCAGATGCATCCACTCCTTGTGACTTATAATACCCAATGAAACTTAATTGTTCTTCGTTATTACTATTCCTTTGTCTCACACCTCTATTTACTGTCTATATTATGCATTTCTTCTACTTTCTTCTCTTGCTGTGTGCTACATGGAGGGAGTGTGACGACTTGAACTGCTGCACATCAGTGCGAAGTTCTATGGCGAAAGCAGACAAACTTTTTGGTTTGTTTCCGTATTTGTAACTTACCGCCGGTTACGGATAAGTCGGGATGTACAATTTTTGAGATCGACCTTCTGGAGAGACAGCATAGCTGGCTGGCATGCTGGTCATCTGAGGGAAGCACTTTACTGCTGTTAAATCCCTGTCCCCCAGCAGTACGACTTTGCCCATAGACCCCCAGTATAGTGTAAAAGAAACTTCTTACACTATTCCGGTAACTGCTTTTAGTCTAATCGCCATCCTAACAATCTTCCTAGCATGGTGGGACCTGCAGAAACATTAGTTCCATCCAGTGTAGCTTGTTGGGTCATTGCGTTATGCAAGCCCAACCACTACGTCAGGACAGTAGCTATTGGTCGAGGTGAGAGTTTGCAGGGCAATTCAGCTACGGTAACCAGAAACGTGTGCTGTGGAGAGAGAGAGAGAGAGATACTCATCCCTTACGTAAAGTCCACAGAAAGTAGTTATCTCGAGAAAAAGAAAACAAATTTTAATACTTTTCATTTCGCAAATAAAAAGAATCCCTCCAGAAAAACCGTGTGTGCTGTATATATGATAGGGAACACTTTTAAACCTTTAATAGAAAACTGACCAACCAATCAAGGAGATATACATTGAACCAATCAACACAGTGAGACTAACCTTGCTTCACATAATAACTTAATTGTTCATTGATATTTGACTTTTCAACTAAAGAATACAAAACTGTCAGAACACTTTGTATATTCCATATCTTTGGATTTTTCATAAGTAATGCTTCATCTTCAGGTTTCAGTTTTAGCCGATTACGAAAACTGCAGAATTTTTGAAATTGATATAGAAATTCATCGATAATATCCCATAACCATTGATCAGGTAGAGATAAATTGATTGGTTTCTTAGCCACTGTAAAAGCATACACAATGATAATTAGTACTATTTATCGTATGAAAAAAATACTTGCATAAGGTCAACTTTTTTAAAAAGAGTTGGTTAGAAAACAACTTGACCATTAAACTGTGACTTATTGGTTGAGGCTCAAGAATTAAGAACAGTGGATTACAGGAACAATCTTAATTCACAAAATAAATGTGGATGGTTTATAAAATGCGCATGCATACACTTATAGAGCTACAATTCAATTCTGAATCATTCAAAATTGTAATTATTGTAATTATCCACAGCCGTTTCGGGGTTCCTATCAAGAAAGCTCAATTGAAACAAAAATAAAAAGGCCCAGACAGATAATAATGGTTGAACATGAGTATAAAAACTCGAGCTGGTTAACGGGACTGCCTTCCTTACTAATGTCAAACAACACAGCCAACAGTACGAAATCCGGCTATCAACCAAGGGACGTGTGTACTACTCAGCAGTTAGCTCCGTCCTTCTCTATAGCTCTGAAACATGGCCAATACGAGTTGAAGACATGAAAAGGTTGACTGTTTTTGATCATAGATGTCTACGATCTCTTTCTCGCGTTAGGTGGTATAATAAGGTAAGGTTAATGTTAACGTTAGGCGTAGAGTGTTGGGCAAAGAGGGAAAATCAATCGAAGAGGCTATAAAGTTACATAGATTGAGATGGTTAGGTCACGTGCTGCGCATGCCTAACCATCGCCTCCCCCGACGGACGGACATTACTAGCTGATATAGGTGCAGGTTGGAAAAGAGTAAGTGGTGGCCAAACAAAAACATGGCATCAATCCATCAAATCCTTGACAGTTAAACTGAGTCAGGTAGGGAGGGAGATGCAGACTTCCGGGTTGGGGCCCTCAGGACTCTAAGAATCAATGGCTGGAGACAATAGGTGACATGGTTCAAAATCGTTGTCAATGGCTTGCGCAGATGTATTCAGTCTCTGTAATCTTTCATATTCCTTTCTACCATTACTCATTCATGTTTCACTCTTATACTTGTCAAAACTCTATTGATTCTCTTCACTCATCTTCTTATCTACCTTTGTGTGCTCTTTGGAATGTGGCAACTCGAACTGCTGCACTTCGGTGCCAAGTTCTATGTTAAATCCAGACAGACAGACAGACGAAATTTCTGAATGTCTGTGTTGCGACTGTTACAAACTTGTAAAAGATGCAAATGTGCTTATCTTCTAAGCCTTACATAATCCATAATCGAAATTCTGGAGCTTAGTTATTATGAAATTTCCGAAGTAGGTATAGCATTTAGGCTAAGGAAATAAAGCTAACTGTATGACTGGATCTCGTTTGGCAGTCGTGTACATGCTGCAGGCTAATTCGAACTCGAATAGAATATAGAATGCCAATGTTTAACTTTTTCTGATTTTTTTATTCCCTTGCGTTCCCATTGGAACATAGAGCTGTAAGGTAGAGCTTTGAAGTTTCGGTAACAGTGGTTTTATTTTTACGGGGGTGGGATTGGCAGTTTCACGCCCAACTTTCCTTCTTTATCAGGTTTATTATCAGCTTAGAGGGGTTCGGAAGTGCGTCGGCCGGGGATCGAACCCTGGGCCACCTAAGCGGCTGGCGAGCATTCTACTTTTGTGCCACCGACGCGCTCTTTTATTTACCTGAGTGGATTGCTACCAGAAGTGTACCTTCACCAAGGTTAGCTAGACAGCCACTGTAGAAAAAGCCAACAATGGCTTGTCCAAGACACTGTTTCTGTTTATGATATCAGCGACTGTTTGTCTGAACCGCTTAGGTGTAAACTGAATGGCTGGAGTCCTAGGTAAGTAAAAAATTAATGGTTGGAAACCATTGGATAAATATCTCGAAATCGTGTATAACAGGACAGGTATAATTCGTCTGATTTTCCTGATTCGCTTTATAACTGTTTCCATCTCCTTACACTGTGACAAACTAGACTGATACACTCCTATGGAACGTTTTACGTTAATATGTTAATCAATCTTTGAGTATCGTGTTTAATCGAAACTTTGCTAGAAGTATCCTGGTGTGGATGAACCCAATTAACCTTGATTTTTCAGAGATATATAAGACGACTAATCAGCATTACACCAATCGATAATAACGTAACACAAGATAATGAAAACACAAAAAGTTACTGAAGACAACATGACAACACCTCTAATGTGGTACATGTTTGTAACAATGAAATGAGGGGTTTCCCTACGAAACACGCGTTCGCATCCATTCTTGAACAAGGAATACACAGCAAAGTAATTGAAACTAATTGAAACGATGGTAATGCTAGCTTACACTTGGATTCTTGGCTAAATAAGTTACGTATGTGCTATATGAACACAATTAAAATGTGTTGTGTGGGATACTTATAAAACGAGAAGCGAAAACTGACGTGGCACCTGCTTCCAACTACAACCATGTAGCAAGTGCATAATCTCCTATAATAATATTCTTGAGGATGACGACATCTTTCTGCATGGGAAGCCACATGGTTTCTAGTTAAATGAAGTGTACACGATATACCGTATGCTACTATATGCTACACTTTCTCGTGTCAAACACAAACTATCTACACTTAGCACACGTGAAGACTTTAGTCAGCTGTAAGCACATTTGCTGCCACTCACAGATTTCTGATTATTACATCAAAATGTGATGCGAATTCTGAAAAGAAACTCCGGAACTTATTACCGCATATTTTAGGAGTGACTAGTAACACGTAAATCCTGATCATTTGAATTTGAGCTCCGACGGAGTAACTTACTTATAAGTTCGTTAAATAAATTCCAGTAGTTTGTAAACGATTGAATCCTGTCTTCAAGAGTAAGGCCGGTACTAACATGGGCATATATATGTCGATAGTACAGTTCATTGTATAATAAGAAGAATATTGGATCTGAAAGTATAATTCTTATAATGGATATTACCAGCATCAACAATCTGCGCAACAATGTCTACAGATGGCCACCTAGTACTCATGAAATACTGTTCTGTCAATTTAGGAAACCTGAGAAATTCAAGTCAAACATGAAATACAAAGACTTTACTTGACTTGAGTATCATTTTCGATCTCAACAATATTTTGCTCTTGAATATGAGTATGTAAGTTCACAATAAATGATCGAACATCCTCTCGCAATAAAGAATATCCTTCCGAAAACTGCTTGCTCATTGTTTAGCGTGTCGTTCCGCAACACTTGTATCGTCCGCTTCAGTTTCTGCATTCAATATCAGATTTTGGATTTATTGATTGAGGATAGATATCTTGGGGCCTGTGTTAATCCTTTTCTATTAAGTTTCTGTGCTTTACCAAACCCTTTTTGAATGAATCAGTTGAGGTTGCAGACACCACTTCTTCTGGGAGTCGGTTCCAAGATTTTATGACTTGGTATGAAAACCACTGCTCAACAGCAATATGATTTCTTCTTGGCTTTTCAACTCTCCTGCTATGTTCTCTAAGATGTTCTGATTTGTTGGGAAGGAAAAGAGAGAATTGGTCAGGTCCTTAGTCGTTACTTAAAATTTCAAACATTGTAATTAAATCTCGTCTTTGTCTACGGTATGATAGGGAGAAGAGATTTAAACTGTATAGTCCTAAATCAGTCATGCCGAGAATCATGCACGTTGCCTTCCTTTAAACCCCTTTTAGAACATACGAGTCCCCTGTAAGACAAGGACTGGCTGCCTGGATACAGTTTTCCAGTCTTGATCTTACCAGAGATGTATTTAAGGAGGTGAACATATCTCTGGTGATTCTAGTAAAGGCTGTGCGAATTGCCTATAAGGATCTGAAACCACATGTAGCCACCACACGACGGTATGCCTCAGTTTTTAAATCTTGACTTACTGTGACAGCTAAATCCAAATCAGTCTGAACTGATGGGAGTGTTATTGCAGCGTGACCGTATCACTGTCGCCCTTCAGCCATCTCAAGATTTTTAAGTCATCTACGAATGGGACCATTGGGGAATCCATGAGCACAGATAACTCATTGATATGCAAAATAAATAGGAGAGGTCCGAGTACTGTGCCTTGTGGCACTCCGCTACGCACTGTTGTCCACGATGAGAGTTCTGCGTTGATCCTGACCCTATGCCCCCCATCTATGAAGAATTCCCTAATCCAGTTTAGTAAGCTGCCTTTGATACCAAAACTTTCCAACTTCATGAGTAGTCTTTTGTGGCGAACTTCATCGAAGGCTTTGCTGAAGTCTATGAAGATGACGTCAACGGGTCTTCTAACGTCCTTTGATTTGACCCAGCTTTCTCTTGCAGTGAGAAGATCTGTCAGGCATGAGAGGTTCCCTCAGAAGCCATACGGTGCTCTGGATAACAAATTGTTGTTTTCCAGGTATGCCATGATGCTTTTCTTGATGATTCTTTCCAGTGTCTTGATTAAAGTGCTGGTGAGACTAATAGGCTTGTAATTTGAAGGGCTTTGTCTTGTGGAAAGGGGTTACCATGGCGTCTTTCCAGTCACGCAGTAACACTTCATTTAAGAGAGAGAGCTTGAAGATCGTAGTCAATGGGCCGGCTATGTGGGCTGATAGCTCCTTGAGAAGCCTTGGATGAAGATTATCAGGACCCATTGATTTCCCTGCATCCATTTCATTAGGCAGTTGAGCACGATATCTTGGTCGACATCAACTGAATCTATCCCGTATTCCTCTGATGCAGCCGGAGCTGATCCTATAGGGAGTGATGACTCCTATGTAAAGACTTTGGAGAAGTAGTTTGCCATTGCTTCTGCTTTTTCTTGATCTTCCTCGATTGTGTCATTGTCAGTAGTCAGGTTTAAGACGCCACCGGATATTCCATTCCTGAAGTTCATGTACGAGAAAACTTTTTTGGTTGTGCATTGCATTCTGAGCCAGATGTGCTTCGAACTTCATCTTTGATTGGCGGATTTCTGCAACACCTTTTTTCCTAGCGGTGTTGTATAATTTTCTGGTCTCAGGAGTCGCAGGTGTGGCAAACAGGTTTCCAGCATATGTACTCACGCCAAAGTAACTCACACATCTCTCGGTTTATCCAAGAGTGCAATGTTTCCAACACTTTGAGACAGACTAAGGGATGAAAAGTTCAGTTACTTGGGCACAAATTTGTTTAAACTGTTTCCATGTGGGTTCCAAATAGGATTCTGGGTTTATGTACCAGTGCACTTAGTTGGCTGCTGAAACAATCGCATTTATATCAGCTTTTCAAAGGTTTGGTCGAGCTATAGTTTTGGCTGTAAACTGGAAAGTGAGCGCAGCGTGATCGCTTCTTCCTAAAGGAGGAAGATGTTGCGTGAGATCCACATGCCCACTATGGGAGAACACTATGTCCAGGGTTGAAGAGGAGTGCTGTGAGTAATAGCGCGTGGGCTTCATGACATGTTGGACTAGGGCTAGCGAAATACTAGGTTCCAGCAGTTTATAACCCAAGGAATTTTCCGAAGTTGGCTTCGTAAGGCTTGTCCATGCAACTGTTGGTGCGTTGCAATTGCCTAATACGAAACTTCGACATTTCGATATCCGGGAGCCTAGCTTGTAAATTAGGAAGTCGTCTGCACTGCAGTCAGGACTATGGTATATATATATATGTCTATGTGATGATAACTGCATCCGGATCTCAAGAGTCTATCATATCACCCAGCTCAGTCCGTTTGTTCAACAGGCTGCGGGCATTTGTGTAGCAAACTGTCAACTCGGTTTGGTGCTTCCGCGGGGTCATCAAACTTTGACATTGACAACCCGAAAACCCTTAATCTTAAGGTTTTTCACTATATCAGCGTCGTTCGCCGTAGACTGATTTTGATGTGGTCTCCTAGGCATAAGCCGGCACAGACGTGTATGCCTGATCCCTTAAGAGTTTGTAAGTTTCTTAGAACGGCATCCGTCTCTTCTTTGGAGTTTAGCACGGCTTTGAGAAGGCGGACCGGCTGATTTACTGCCGAGTCAGGCTTTTGACCGATTATAAGCTGTGTATGGTTACGCCTAACAACGTTGTTGGCAGTAGCTTATCTAAGGGGGGCTTGACCTAACCATGTGATCGGAAGCCGGTGATTCTTCCACTTTGTGGAGAATGGGTGACCTGTCAGAGAGATCAGGTTTGTTCGCCGTGGCTTTCTTGCTCTACGGCGTAAGTTTCTCTCCATCCTTCGTGAATGGTGTGACCATTATGATGTCCTTATCTCGCTTTTTGCATTACGTCATTCATTGACGTCCTCCTCGCAAACTGTATTCAATTGTGTCTGCTTGCTATCCATCGGTGTAGATGAGGCTTAATCTCCAAGTCCCTGGATGACTTAATTTGCTGATTTTTGACGTGTGATACGCCTCTTCATCGTCACTGGAGGGCTAATCCGGTATCGTAGGGTCAGCATGGGTGTCTGGAATATGGTGGATGCTTTCCTGTGTAGAAGGGCACTCACACCCTGACAGTGATGCGTCAGGAACGTGTATTGTCTTGCCGATGGTGCTAGTCACGTCGTCGGTGTCTGAGCAGTAGTTTCTCTACTCCTGTAGTACTGTATGTTAAATCACCTACGCCTCCCAGTAGTAAAGAACGATTCGCATTTTTTAAGGTTTCCTTTACTTGGTTAGTCACCGGTCCAACTCATCCTTGATGAAATTCGTGCAGTCTGGGACACAGGTGAACGTCAGGGGCACAGTGGTTAGGACTCTCGCCGACCATGCAAATGGTCCGGGGTTCGATCCCCTGCCGACGCACACCCGATATCTATGGTCGGCCTGCAAATTTTGGGCTACCGATATCCATGCTGAAAATTCCATACTTTTTCTGAAAATACGGTGTGGCATCAAGCTGTAGCAACAAATGAAAAATAAATGATGTTGTCAATACAAGAATAGGAGTTTTCACAGATGGTTTTGAAAGTGATTAGCAGTTTTCACTATTTGGAGGATACAAAGACGTTTTCTTGATAGTCTTATATACAGCCCACATTCCTTCTCAGACTAATCAAGGTCGTCAAGCTGTCATATTCTTGGGGAAAAATAGGTTTACAGTGGCATGAAATTAAAGGTGACACTGTATGTAATTCAAACAGGTCTCCAAAGAACTCTGGATGAAAGTTCTTCCAGCTCAAAATGGCTGAAGCGTGCTGCTATCAGGCCCTTGGTACATTAGCAATATGATGTGTATTTGTTTCAGGAACGAGAGGATGGGGACAAGTAAGATAAGAAAGCGAATTATAATCTAGCTATTTAACCTTCATTTATCTCAGTCTGAGCCTCCTCTCGGTTAACTTTTGCCCACTTGCTAACACCTGGCCCTTCAGTAGTTTCACGAACCACACTCTTTCTCCATATCCCTCCACACACTAATTCTATACTGTAGAAGAGGGACTTGATAACTTCTGTTTACTTGATGTGTGTTCCACGAAGAGTCACGCTAAGAATTCGAGATCGATCCAATTTTCACACTGCTGCTTCACTGTAAGTTGAAAATGACAAGTCCGCGAAGTCCAGTTAGGTGCTTTCGGTGATAGCCCAGTGCGATAAGCGGCTTTCGGTTGCGTCACAGATCTTTTAGAGTGTGCACCGTGTTTGATGACAAAGTATTCCACGTCGTTATAGGTCATATTGAGACCCCAGAAGCATCCATGTTTTGCAGCTTATCATAAAGGGTTTCAACGGATTGGAGTTAATCCAATTAGCCTATCACCGTAGAAACTTTAATTGTATAAGAGTTTATTGCGGCAAAGCTTAAACAACATTGATATAATGCCGCGCTGATTCGAAAACAGAATTTTGTCATTGTGGTTGAGCAGCACTCCATAACAGCACAATTTTGTTTGATGGAAAATGCAGTGATACGGTATTATTTATTGGTTGAGTTTCAGGCACTTTTTATTACTATTCATAAACATATCTTTTTCACCCTTTGATCTCAGTGGCAGTAATATTTTCGACATCTGTGGTATTAGCATTGCTCCATTTCAATTGCATGAGTTTGGGATGGACTCAATGGACGAACATTCAGCAGTGAACCTTTAGAGGTTGCAGGTATCGACGTTCGCGAGTTGTACGGATTATACTAACGCAAGATCTTATACCAACAACTTCTATTGTGCTCATTCTTCGAGTACCAAAGGTAAAGCAAAAGACCAAATTTTGTCGTCCAAAGTACGTAGTATATTTCGGGACAAAATCGCGGGTAGAGGTGAATG